CCCGCCCCCTCTCGCGGCGTTGCCTTCGCGGGCGCCCTGCTGGGGTGCGCCCCGCCCGCCCCGGCGTACCCCGCCTTCGCCCACCGGCGGGGCTTGCTGGCGGGGTGCGGGGGCTCGGTGCCTCCTCGCAGCTGCTCGGCCCTTGTGGGACCGGAGGGGCAGGCCCAGGGTGACGCAGCTGTGGCCTCCTGTTCCCTCTGTGGTAGGGATGCGGGGGCGGGGTCTCTCTGCCCGACCGGGGCGCTCCTGGCCCTGCGGTGCGGTGGAGGGTGTCGGAGCTCCCGGGTGGCGCTGGGTCAGTCACCCCTTCCTCTCCGCCCAGGTCCCGCCGTCAAACCGTGCCACTCAGTTGTTGGACTCCTCAGAGACCCACAAGAGCTCAGATCAAGCCCGTGCTGAGGTGTGGTGGCATGCGGTGGTGCCTTTTGAGGTACTTCCTGGACAGACAATATTAAAGGTGGGGTTTTACCCTTTCTGTCTAGTGGAAGCACAGCTCTCGGCAGCTGTTTAATGCAAACAAATATATAGTTTGGCAGCTATAGATGTAATGCTGTTACAGATGTAGATATCCCTGGAAAGACTAAAGCTCCCTTCGTGCTCTATGGGAAAGCCATAGTTCAGCAGCGAGAGAATTAATACATGGCTATTGAATGTGAGAGCACATTGGGGAAGTGTCATTATATGCTTGACCTATTGTACTTTTCTCTAGGCGTCCATTAGTGGCCACTGTCAAAGACTGGATGGCTGCTTTCCATTTGGCCGATGGACCTTTTGTCTGACCCGGTGTAACAATTCTTACTTATTAAATCTGTATGTGTTTGTTATACGCATATAAAATGTAGAGGAAAAAAAATTGGTTCGGCATCTGCAGTCATCTCTGATGTGATCGTGAACCTGTGTGGGTGTGTGTATTTGAGTATCCATGCCATCTTGCAGGGCTAAGATGAAAATACTTTTGCAGCATAGAAGAATAATTGATACATATTTATCTTTGCTGTATTATGGCTTAGTACTCCAGAATTATTCATTATATTGGTATCTGTTTCAAGAACTCTGCAGCTGTCTGTCTTACAAGTGGTAAAAAAATAGAGTGCAGACCAAGGCCCTAGAGGTGATCACATGCTGAGTAAATGTTGCCGGCCGAGTAATGATTTCTCTCTGAATAGTGAGTTGCTTCACAGCACGGTCCTCGTAAGCATTAGTTTTGTGAGCTGCAGAACTGGTAGCATCTGGCTTCGCTTTGCGTTCGTGTCATAGGCCTGACGTTCGGTTACGTGCAAGCCTGAACAGAAGCTGTCCTCTACCTGGGGCGTTCTCAGGCGTCTAGCAAAGCTGGAAGCAATGCTGCTCTGTATCTCTCCTATAACCAGCTGCCTATTCCTGCAAAGTGTGCAGGAACTCATTTAGTTGTTTTTTTTTTAAGCGGTCAGCTTCTCTGTCCCTCACCTTTAAATCAAGCTCAAAATCTGGCAATTCTTCAAAACAGCTATCGTGGCGTCTGTGAGTAGTCTTTTTAAATTGACTGAAAGACAAGAGTACTCACATTCTCTGTGACAGCTTATGTCTACCACGGTAGCTACCTATCCCAATTGTTCATTTTTATTAAAACAACTTTCATGGGGTGTATCTCATCTTTTTAACCATGTAAAAAGTAAGCATCCGCTCTATATTAGCTGCCTAATCTTCTACAAACACAAGACAGGTGCTACCAAAGGATGGTTCATCCTACCTTAATGCAGGTACCTTTAGAGAGAGAAACCTGATCTCTCTCTCTGCTGATCATGAGGAAAGCTTCTGGCTATATCTTGCTGCAGAATCCAGGAGGTCTTTGGTGCTCCTTGGTCTTGCGGCATATGCTTCTTGACTCTGGTACAAGCAAGAACAGCTGTACTGAGTCGAACCAAGAATCCTTCAGGCTGTATATCCTGTCTCTTCTGCCCCTGATACGAGACCCCTTGGTGTATGCTGGGGACAGAAATTCTGGCTTCTCCTCCACCAAATCAAGTCTCTTAACTGTCACCTTGGTGCCATCAAGAAGCGCTGAGTCCTGTCCTTGCTGCTGTTTGTTTTCTCTCTCCAGTTCCCAGTTTCTTGATTTTTGACCATTTGGCCTTCACAGCCTCTTGCTTTAATATTTTTTCTCCCTTGTAATCACTTGATTCCTTCCTGCTTTCCTTTATCTTAGCTGCCCCTTTCCAGGGAAGGTTTGAGAGCTTTTCTGGATTGGGCTAGTAGGAAAGTAATAGTGTCTGAAAGTAGATGTCTAAATAAATGTGTAAGAACAGGTTAAGCATGTGTAATGCTTCCTTCAGTTGCCTCAACCATTTGCAACTCAGGAACTTCCTAGATTGGCCTTTCCAGACCTTAGGGGGTACTGGGGTGCTTGGACTCCACGTTCCCTGATTGTCATCGGAAAGCGACCATGTGCTTGGGCCTGAAGAAGAGAGCATGCTGGCAGAGCCCCTCGTCTGAATGACTTGGGGAAGCTAGAGAGTCACGGAGCTAGGATGAGTTGTTCAGACTAGACAACAAACATTACGAGAAGCAAATGCCAAGCCATATGCAATATCGCTGTATATAGTATGTAAATTGAAAAAAACCCAGATGTTGCAAAACAAGCTGCCAGTATAGTAAAACCAAATATACCTAAGTTGTGGTTCTTGTGGCCATTAATCAACCTGCTTCTGTGTGTTCATTGCAACAAACGTGCCAGGCATCAACTTCATCTAGGAGGCCTGTGGCAGAGCTGTGGCTGACAACTCTCCTGGTTTGGCAGTACCTGAAAGACAATGATCATCTTATTTGTCTGGTGTTCTGCATCATCCACTGTGTGCTAGATTTTGTGTGGCAAATTGAACCAGCCATGCTATAGAAGAGAAAATATAAAGACAAATCACAATAAACTATATAAAATAACACTATATAAAGACAAATCAAATAAACTGTAAGGATTAC